ACACACACACACATAATTTGTATATATCTTATATAATAAATACATAGCAAAAGAGATGAAGGAGGAGACAGGGAGAATGCAAGGGGGAGTAGAAAACTTGCAGGATACATTTTTTTCTCCCAATTTCCCAAATAATAAATTTTTGTGAAAAAGGCTAAGGTATTTATTGGGGTGAGTGAGATGTATAAATAGGAACAGATCATTCCTTTCTACCTGATCCTGTCTTCATAAATTCCATGGGGTGATTTACAATTTGAGAACCGACTGAGGGTTAAGTAGGTGATGAACGGCAATCTAATTGGACATATTAAGTAGTTGCAGAATTTTGTGATCAGCATAGATGAGGTGATTGTGGGAATTAATCTCCTGCATTACTAGGCAAGGAATGAGAGTTCTGTGATGCAAGAAAGCCATAGAAATATTAGGAACTTCATTCAATAAGTAAACACATGTCTCTTCTGCCAAAATCTCTTTTTCTCTTTGACCTAAACTGTATTTCTTCTTCGTTTTGTTTTGGTCAGTCAAGTACTAAAACTTGTTTCATGTTTAGGATGGTTTTTAAGACAGACATTGGAATTTCTAATTTGTCAAGTGAATATGAACGTTTTCTGACAAATTTTCCTCAGGCTGACAGTCCTGATAAAGAGAGAAAAGAAAATATTGTAGTCCAAATAAAGATAAGACAAGGGAAAAATACTAAATTTCCCCCCTCCCCAGATAGTCCAAAAGAAAATATGAGTCTACAACATGTGAGTGAAAACACACCACAGCCATACCAGGAATAGCAATGAGATGCTACAAAGAAAGATCACACAGGGACTGGAGGATCAAAGCTATAGCAAGAGAAAAAAGTCAAACCACTCTCTCCTTCATGTACTTTCTTAATTTTACTATTTCTTCTACTTTCTTATAGCAAGTCAATTAAAATATTTAATGACATATTGAAGATATAAAGATTGGCCTCTTTATGGTCTTAGGATGTTTCTTTTAGATGGCCTAAGTAAATTCTCTCTTCCTACACCCCTTACCCAACTTATAGCAAAGGAAAACTTATAAGGGGGGAAAAAAAGCATTAAATTTGCTGTCATATCTCTCTTCTGTTTACTTTGAAGTCCATCTTTTATTTAATTATTTAATTTACTTCTTAGATTCCAAGGGTATGCAAACCCAGAAGGAATGATCTCTAGCCATGCCTATGCTTTCTGTTAGCTTGTTGCTTGTGGAATTTTCAAACTTTTGCTATGAATTTACAAAGAAACAAACACCAGTTCTCTTTCCTTTAGGGAGCCTCATAACCACGAGCTCTACAGTCTACTTAAAGGTGGCCCAAGGAAGTTCATGTACTTCCCCTGGGGAGCACTTTATACTCATCTCAACAGGGAAGGAGGCATATGGCTCATTCTTCCCAAATCTATTCACTCAACTGGTTACACAACCAGAAGGGGAATATAAAATCACAAACCCTATAAAAAAAAACTCCTCATGTCTCTGCCCTTCCCATGGCCTGACACCTAAATTTCTCAGTTTTTAAAGGAGGATCTCTAAAGAGGAAATAAATAAAAAATAATGAAGATTGGATTTTTGCCCTCAAAAAAAGAAGAAAAAAAAAATTTCTGGCAACACCCATCTTCACTCTGTAAATAAATTTTTTACCTTGGTGTAACTAAAAAAAATTAGCAATAATTACTATTGACATCTGAATTAAACAACCAAAATTATAAAAGCACTTCAAACAATTTATATTTCACTCTACTATAAATTCTTAACCATAGTGTTATCACAACCTCCCCATATACGCTAACTTCTAATCATATTACCTTTTTTGTGTTTTGTTGTATTTTGATTCAAAAATACTATTGATTTTTGTATGTGCTTATATATGCAACAAAGCACCTCATCCCCATATTTCACTGACTGCAGAAGCAGAGAATGAATACCTAGATGAAAAATCTGATAGGAAGAACCATTATCCTTTCTTCCCAAGACCTTACATATCCCTTTCCTTCATCATTTATATGGGCTGTAAGGAAGTCTGTTTGGTGGATTAACAGTTGGATCAGAGTCCTTATATGATAGCCTGGCTTATGGGAAATGGACCCAGAAAAATCTTCTTTCTGTGGCTTAAAAGGCTCCCTATGAGTGAATAAACTTAAATTATGAGACAAATCAAACTTTAAAAATGTGGCTAAGGTGAAAAATTTCTCATCTAAAAATTACACATTAG